GTTTCCGGCTGTCTGACTTGAAAGCAGGCAAGGGGTTTTCTTAGGGCTTCTCGTGGCGGCACCAGGTCGCAAAATCATAAGTCTTACGGCCGCCGCAAGTTTCGGCACGGCCGTTTTACGTCATCAATGGTGACGTGCGCACACATTGTACCACTTGTTCGGTACATATTTAAAACGAATACCGGCGTACCGGTATGGCATATATGCATATGGGAATGATTGAACAGGGTTATTCGGGCTATCTTATGGCCGTTCGGTTAACGAAACGCTGTTCAATTTTAGATTATAACATGGTTATATGTATTAGGGCGACATCTAGTGGCTGGACCTTTATTTCTGTTGGTTTTTTTTTTCTCTCCTGCTTTCCCTTTCTCCTGTTTACACTTTATCACCATATGGTCTGAATTGGGTTAAAATGTCTGACTGACCCCTGGTGGTCATAAGGGTTATGACATGTGGCATAATTACATTTAATATTTGGGCATTGGTCACAGGATAAGAAGACATATGTCATAAAAACGCTACTAGTGCTAATTGTCCTGATGGTATTGCCAACAGTAGTTTGTGGCACGTATTTGCTTATTATGATATATGTCTTGAATAAACCCGGTGGTCAACAGGAGGGTTACAAGAAATGTGATACCTTGGCTTACGGGGTCTACTTTCTGTTTCTACTTCAGTTATATCTAAGCACGTACATCATAGCTACCCATTTAGGAGTATTAAATGTTTGGTAATTACATATAATGCAGATATTTACGGTCAGGAAAGGCTAGCAATTTAGAGATTATGATCCTTTTATGTGTCAGTATCACAGCATCCACAAGGTGCTGCTACCCTATCAACTGTTCACCTGTCATAGGTCAGTAATCACAATTAATGATCCTCCCGTGGACTTGCAAGACCTGGGTCCTTATGTATATTTTTCTGTATTACTAGGCATAGGCATCCTTGCTCATTTGGAGTATTTGATTCCAGTCTTCTATTGTTGGAATATTTTCCGGTAGGTATCTTGTTTTGCAGGGGGAATGATGGGTACATATTGATATAACCCTGGAAACTCACTATTACTCTCGTAGGTTACTACAGATCGCCTGTATCACCTTATCCTACTACCTGGCAATTTGCTCATAAGGTACGTCATGTTGCTGTCGATAAATTCTCCCACCCTACCTGGCATATATATATATATATATATATATACTGGCATACAATATAGGAGCCTCCAGGTATGTTTTTCTTGGCCTTCTACGCCTTACGTTAGTTTTCCCCCTACTAACATGATGCCCACTGGCAGAACAGGCAGGGTGCTGAAAGACAAACTAGGCCGTGTTATAGTGTTTTTTGGGAAAATCGCAAGTCTGTAACAATTTTAACACTGCCACTTGCGGATACAGTGCCTGCAGACTGCTTCATGTCTGCTCCCAATGTTTCAGGGCTCACTCAAAAGTGATGTGCCCCAATAAATTATATCCTAAGCAGTATTTATCGTCTCTTAATGTCTCCCTACTGGAAAAGCTTTTGTGTGAGCACCCATCGCGACATCTCGTTGAGTTTTTGGTGGCAGGATTTACTTTGGGGTTTCACACGGGTATTATTCACATGCCTACGGAAATCTTGGAATGTAAAAACTTGCAGACAGCCCTAGCAGCTCCAGACACTATAAGCCTACTCCTCCAGAAGGAAGTTGACCAAGGTCTCTTAATAGGCCCTTTCGTCTCCCCGCCTTTCGCGGTCTGGAGAACTAATCCCATAGGACTGGTCACTAACAAATCCTCCAATAAGCAAAGGTTAATTCTCGACCTATCTGCTCCCCATGCATCACCTACCCCAAGTCTCAATTCACTTATTCCATCAGAAGAATTTTCCCTGCGACCATAGATAATGCCATCACTGCCATCCTCTCTGCCGGGGTAGGGGCATGGCTGAGTAAAACTGTTATTGTAAACACCTTTAAGTTACTCCCTATCCACCCTTCCCTGTGGCATTTACATGGTGTTAAGTGGCAAGGTTCGTATTATTTTTTCACACGCCTCACGTTTGGTTCTAAGAGCAGCCCCAGGATTTGTGATATATTTGCTGAGACGTTGTGCTGGATGCTGCTTAACATCTGTAAATGCCCAACCGTGATACATTACCTGGACGACTTCCTGACCATAGAAAGGAACCTGGTACCTCCTAGTAGCCTCCAGTCCATAACAAGACTGTTCACATAACTAGGAGTACCTGTTTCGCCAACAAAGACTGAAGGTCCAGATACGATCATCAACTTCTTGGGAGTGGTACTGGACTCTGTACATATGCAGGCTAGCCTCCCCAGGGAGAAGATTAATCGCATCCTAGCAGCCATTGACCTTTACCTAGCAGGTGGCTCGTGTAATAGGAAAGAATTACAATCCCTGTTGAGTTCCCTAAATTTCGCCATGAAAATAATTCCACAGCGGAGTGCGTTCATATACCGTTTGCTTAGGCTATTTCCCCTGTTTCACTCTGATACCACCCGCATTACGTTAGACATACATGCCACCGCTGACCTACATATGTGGAAAGAATTTTTGCTAAATTGGAATGGGAAAAGCATTTTTATCCCAGTATGGTCAGATAAGTCAGTGTCATTATGGACGGATGCTGCTGCCACGTCATGTTTCGCAGCTATTTGTGGCAATGAATGGATGTGGGTTAAGTGGCCAGGGGAAAGTACTGCAATCCCCAAGTTCAAATACACGTAAGCCTTATTCGAGCTTTACCCCAAAGTGGCAGAATCAGTTAAGTGGGTAGCTGGCTGGTCTGGGAATACGGTGCGTTGCTTCTCTGACAACATGGCAACGTGCCATATTGTAAACAAGGGTCGTTCCTCTTCCCTGGCCATGATGCGGTTTATGAGGACTCTCACTTGGCTAGCTGCTAAACACAGTTTTCTTTTAACTTGCATTCATGTGCCTGGGGTGCTCAATATCGCTGCTGATCACTTATCACGGTCTCGGTTTCAGGAGTTCCGGGCAGCACTACCAACAGCTACCCCGACACCGACTCCAGCACCTCAGTGGCAGGAATTGGTTTGGGACTAAAAGAATTGCTCTATCACGGGCAACAACTTTCGCAACTCGGTCTTTCCAATAACACCAGGAAAGCATATGGTAGAGCTTATCATGTTTTCAATAAATTCTTGCTGGACTTTAATGTCACTGACCAATTCTCCATTGAGACTATCATCACATTTATTTATTTTTGCCACCTTCATCTGACACCATTAAGTTGTATGTCACAGGTATTCAACATCACATCCTCACAACCTGGCCTAATAGACAATGATTTCTGTCATCCTACCAAGTTAAAGCCATACTAAAAGGTATTAAAGACTCCACCCCTATACCCTCACCGTCCAGACTACCCATTCACAATCTTTTGTTTTAGTCACTATCTAATCTGCTAGATGCCTCACCATTCAAAGCCCATACAAACCGTGTGTCACGATTCCGGAACCTAACAGGCTAACAGAGAGGAAAGATGCTATACCGGTCCTTAGAGTGGCCGGGCTAAGCACGCTAAGAATGGTCAGGAGACAAGCCAAGTAAAGGGAGCCAGAAAACGGGAGAACGAGAAACAAGCCGAGGTCAAAGGAGTGGAGAAGACAGGATAAACGGAATAACAAGCCAAATAATCGGAAACCAGAGAGCAACACAAGAGAACAGGACTACAGGTATCACAAGACCACAACAGGGCACTGAGTGACAGGAAAGGTAAGTATAAATACCCTTGGTTTAATTCTGATTGGATAACTTCCAATCAGAATTAACAATCACACGTGGGGGATATCTATACCTCCCACTGTGATTGTGGTACTGTTCCTTTAACGCCGGGTCACTCACGTGACCCCGGCATTTGCATAATTCAGTGACCTCCCAGCGTGCAGCGTTATACATGCTGCCGCTGGGGGGCGTGGAGGACGCGAGCGGCAGAGAGGAGACGCCTCTCGCCGACAGGTAAGGGACCGCGATGGACTGAGGGTGAGTGCTGCAAGTGGCGTGCAGCCTCCCCTCCTAGCCACCCGCGGATTCCTGACATAACCCCCCCTCGAGGCCCGCCCAACGGGCGGGAAGCCAAAGGCTTGAAAGGGAACCGCGCATGAAAGGAGCGGATCAAAGATGGCGCATTCCAGTCAGAGGCAGAAACCCAGGTCCGCTTCTCAGGGCCGTAACCCTTCCAATCAACCAGATACTGCAACCGACCCCGAGAAAAATGAGAATCGAGCAGAGCAGCCACTTCGTACACGTCATTAGAGACAGCGCGGAGGGAATCTGGACGCCTAAGAGGACCAGAGAATCGATTACAGAGCAGAAGCTTCAAAAGGGAGGTGTGGAAAGTGTTAGGTATACGCATGGAAGGAGGCAAGGCCAGGGAGTAGGACACAGGATTGACCCTATACCGCAATACCTTATAGGGGCCAAGGAACCTTGGCGCGAATTTCATCGAGGGGACCCTGAGGCGGAGATTCTTAGAGGACAACCAAACCCTATCACCCGGGACATAAGAGGGAGCAGCACCCCTACGACGATGAGCAAATCTCTTCTGAGTAGCAGTCGCACGCGAAAGAGTATCATGGACCTGATCCCACATCTTCCATAAGGAGGTGAGGTGCTCGTCCAAAGCGGGTATTCCCTTGTCGGAGAACACGCCGGGAAGGACAGAGGGTTGGAACCCATAAGCAACCATAAAAGGACTTAAGCCAGTGGACGAATGAGTCACAGTGTTCCTGGCAAATTCAGCCCAGGGAAGGAGGTGAGACCAGTTGTCCTGGTGTGCATTCGTGAAGCAACGTAAATATAACTCCACAGATTGATTCGCCCGTTCGGCCGCTCCATTAGATTGTGGATGATAGGAGGAAGTAAACGACAAGGAAATCTCCATCTCAGCACAAAAGCCCCTCCAAAACCGAGAGACAAATTGAGGACCCCTGTCAGATACGATATCCTGTGGTATACCATGCAAGCGGAAAACCTCTTTGGCAAATACCTGAGCCAACTGAACCGCAGAAGGTAGTTTCTTAAGTGGAATAAAGTGTGCCATTTTAGAGAATCTATCAGTCACAGTCAAAATTACTGTCATTCCATCGGATGAAGCAAGATCCACAATAAAGTCCATGGGTAAGTGGGTCCATGGTTTCTTGGGTACGGATAGAGGCATTAGGAGTCCCGGGGGTTTGACATTAGGGGACTTACACTGTGCACAGACACGACAAGCCTGCACATAATCCACTACGTCTTGCTTAAGTGAAAGCCACCCAAACTGTTGAAGGAGACCCTTGTATGTTTTGGTAACCCCTGGGTGACCAGCCGTTTTGACGGTGTGAAATAAAGCTAACAATTTCTTTCTATCTTTTTCTTTCACGTATAATCTACCAACAGGTGTCTCAGAGGGTGCTTGGGTTTGGTATGCCTTGATACCATCAAGGAAAAGAGACAAAATAACTAAACGGTTAGTAGCTATTATCTTAGACGTGGGTACAATGGGTTCAGGAGCGGGGGCAATAGACTCCAAAGGTTCATATTGTCGGGAGATAGCATCAGCCTTGACATTACGGTACCCAGGCCTATATGTGATAATGAACTGAAAGCGTGAAAGAAATAAGGACCATCTGGCTTGACGAGAGAAACATAGAAACATAGAATGTGACGGCAGATAAGAACCATTCGGCCCATCTAGTCTGCCCAATTTTCTAAATACTTTCATTAGTCCCTAGCCTTATCTTATAGTTAGGATAGCCTTATGCCTATCCCACGCATGCTTAAACTCCTTTACTGTGTTAACCTCTACCACTTCAGCTGGAAGGCTATTCCATGCATCCACTACCCTCTCAGTAAAGTAATACTTCCTGATATTATTTTTAAACCTTTGTCCCTCTAATTTAAGACTATGTCCTCTTGTTGTGGTCGTTTTTCTTCTTTTAAATATAGTCTCCGACTTTACTGTGTTGATTCCCTTTATATATTTAAATGTTTCTATCATATCCCCCCTGTCTCGTCTTTCCTCCAAGCTATACATGTTAAGATCCTTTAACCTTTCCTGGTAAGTTTTATCCCTCAATCAATGAACCAATTTAGTAGCCCTTCTCTGAACCCTCTCTAAGGTATAGAAACATAGAAAAAGAGAGGACAACCTTTTAGCATCAGCTATATAGGAGAGATTCTTATGATCAGTTATAACCAGGATTTTGTGTCTAGCTCCTTCTAATAAGTACCTCCACTGTTTAAAAGCCATCACAATAGCTAATAGTTCCCTGTTCCCGACGTCGTAATTCTTTTCCGAATCAGACAGTTTTTAAAAAAAGTAACAACAGGGATGGAGGGGTTCGTTATAGGATAATCTTTGTGATAATACAGCTCCTGTACCTGATTCTGAAGCGTCTACTTCCATTATAGCACAGGGGCAGTGGCAAATGCCTTTTTGAGAGTTTCGAAGGCTTTAATGGCTTCAGGAGTCCAAACCCTGGGGTGCAAACCCTTTTTAGTTAGTTTCGTGATAGGAGAAATGACTGATGAAATATTTTTAATAAACCAGCGATAATAATTGGCAAAGCCTATAAATCGCTGTATTGCCTTAAGGCCTTGAGGAAGAGGCCAAGACAATATGGCTTCTAATTTAGAAGGATCCATGCTGAACCCCTGTTCAGAAATGATGTACCCTAGGAATTGTACTGATTTTTGGTCAAATAAACATTTCTCCAATTTACAATAAAGACTGTTCAGTAGCAATCTCTTAAGTACCTTCCTCACATGGGCATGATGTGACTCCAAATTAGGAGAATACACAAGTATATCATCGAGATAAACCACGGCACAGACATGCAGTAAATCTCTAAGGACATCATTTATGAGGTCCTGAAAGACAGCAGGAGCATTACACAGTCCAAAAGGCATGACTAGATACTCGTAATGCCCACTGCGTGTATTAAACGCTGTCTTCCATTCATCATTTTCTTTTATACAAACCAAGTTGTAAGCCCCCCTGAGGTCTAGTTTAGTAAAATATCTAGAACCTTTAACACGGTCAAACAACTCAGTAATGAGAGGGATAGGATAAGTGTTTTTAACTGTTATATTATTCAGGCCCCTGAACTGTTATATTATACCAATTGTCCTGGTGTGCCTCTCTCTAATACATGGCCTCAAATCGCCCTCTTTCTTGGCAACAAAAAAGAAACCAGCACCAGCCGGAGAGGAGGACCTTCTGATAAAACCTTTACGTAAGGATTCCTGTACGTACTCCTCCATGACCTGGTTTTCTTTCTCAGAAAGCGGGTAGACCTTACCCCTAGGAGGCATCGTTCCAGGTAGCAGGTTTATGGCACAATCATAATCCCGGTGTGGGGGTAGTTTATCAGCTTCCCTCTTTTCAAAGACCAATGCGAGGTCTGCATACACAGGAGGGACAGAAACAGAAAGAGGTTTAGCTGTAGGCACATTAAGTAAACAAACGGGATGTAAATGGGCCAGACAGTCTTGTTGACAAGATACCCCCCAGGAGAGTATATCTAGAGAACCCCAATCAAGTACCGGGTTATGCTTAACTAACCAGGGGAAGCCCAGAATGATGGAAGCTATAGGGGAGTCAATTATTTGGAAGGTTATCCTTTCTTTGTGTAAGGCACCCATGACCATAACCATTTCTTGGGTTTCATGGGTCACCAGAGGTTTATCAAGTGGTCTACCATCTATGGCCTCAATGGCCAAGGGTGTGGCCTTTTGGATCAGATTCAAGGCTGCGGTTTTAGCAAAGTTCTCATCCATAAAGTTGTCTGCAGCACCTGAATCGATCAAGGCTTCAGTTGTTATCATGGTTTTATTGACCAAAAGAGTAACCGTAATAAATGGTCTGGAGATGGACACATGAGGGGAAAAAACCATAACACCAGAGGCCGACCCCTCTCTAGGCCTTAGGTGCTGGAGTTTCCCTGCAAACTAGGACAGTTTCTTCGGAGATGCCCCCTCTTACCACAATAAAGGCACAAACCCTCCCTTCTGTGGTACGTTCTTTCAGCTTCAGATAAGCCTACAGCACCTAATTGCATGGGTTCGGGAGGTGGTTGATTAGGGGGAGGTAATGCTAGTAATGCAGTACTGGGTAAAGCAGGTAACCCCTGTGTATTCATCCTTCTTTGACTACGCCTCTCTCTAATACGGTTGTCAATTAGAATGACATAATCTATTAGATCATTCAGAAGAACAGGCATTTCCCTGGATGCTATTTCATCTAATATGTAAGCGTCCAAACCCTCCTGGAAAGCTGTTACGAGAGTGTTGTTCTTCCAATCCACTTCAGCTGCCAGAGTGCGGAATTCAATGGTATAATCCGCTACAGATCTATTACCCTGTCGGACCCTAAGCAGAGCTTTGCCAGCAAAAGCAACCTGGCCGGGTTGATCAAATGTACGTTTAAAAGCTGTTAAAAAGTCTGCAAAGGACATTGGGGACGTATTCTCCCACATGGGATTAGCCCATGCTAGAGCTTTCCCGGACAAATGGTTGATCAAAAAAGCAATTTTGGTTCTGTCAGTGGGGTAGGAACGAGGATTCATCACCAAATGAATATCAATTTGGTTGAGGAAACCACGGCACAATGCTGGATCACCGCTATAGCGCTGAGGTGGCGTCATGTGAACCACGTGAGCAGGAGCGGGTACTGGATCAGGAATGGGTTCTGGCACGGTAGCAACAGCTTCTTGAACGGCAGGTTGCAAGTGGGCAGTACGAGCCAGTATGGTTTGTAAAGCTTGGGAAACTGATCCATACGGTGGTCTAAACCATCCATTCTAGCCTCCTGATTTACTAACAGCTGTGGAATGTCAGCAGGTTCCATGGTCGCCCTGTTGTAATGTCACGATTCCTGAACCTAACACGCTAACAGGACACAGAGAGGAAAGATTCTATACCGGTCCTTAGAGTGGCCGGGCTAAGCACGCTAAGAATGGTCAGGAGACAAGCCAAGTAAAGGGAGCCAGAAAACGGGAGAACGAGAAACAAGCCGAGGTCAAAGGAGTGGAGAAGACAGGATAATCGGAATAACGAGCCAAATAATCGGAAACCAGAGAGCAACACGAGAGAACAGCACTACAGGTATCACAAGACCACAACAGGGCACTGAGGGACAGGAAAGGTAAGTATAAATACCCTTGGTTTAATTCTGATTGGATAACTTCCAATCAGAATTAACAATCACACGTGGGGGATATCTATACCTCCCACTGTGATTGTTGTACTGTTCCTTTAACTCCGGGCATTTGCATAATTCAGTGACCTCCCAGCGTGCAGCATTAAACATGCTGCCGCTGGGGGGCGGGGAGGACGCGAGCGGCGGGCGGCAAAGAGGAGACGCCGCTCGCAGACAGGTAAGGGGAGGGGAGACCGCGGGCGGCAACGGACTGAGGGTGAGTGCTGCAAGTGGCGTGCAGCCTCCCCTCCTAGCCGCCCGCGGATCCCTGACACCGTGTTATTAAAACTAATTAAAACAGCCATCTATTTGGCTTTGTTACGGTTTTCTTAGGCCCAAAGAGTTTACCACCACTAACTATAACTCCCCTGACGTCATCACTAGGTCGAATCTGGTAAAAGTACTAGATCACTACGTGCTATCCCTACACCATACCAAAACTACTGCTAAAGGACAGACTGTCACTATCACCTATTACCCCACTAACAATAATTGGTGTCCGGTGGAAGTTTTCGACAAATACCTCTCCTCTTGTACCATAGCCCCTATACAACCACTCCTTATGTTACACGGTAACAAGCTAACAACAAGTAAATTCATGGTGTATGTTAGGATGTTGTTGGTCCGTTTAGAATTAAACCCAGCAAATTACTCTGGCCACTCATTTAGAATAGGAGCCGCCACTACAGCTTCTAAGAAGAATATCCCGGCTCACATAATTAAAATTTTAGGCCGTTGGAAGTCCACGGCTTACACAAGATACATCCCTCAGCCATCCCTCATGCAAGACCATGAATATGTGATATGCTATAATATATTTGTAGGATGAATAAACTGGTTATATCTTTTTTGCCCTCTTTTATTTCAGGCCTACTGCCTTGTCAGTTCCGGCACACCACAACTGACATTTCCATTCCCTGTTTGTCTTATGTTACTAATACTACGGCTTTATGCCATGACCACAAATGGAAGGCATGGCCTGAAGTTGTGGGAGGGGCTTGGT